TATAAGTGCTTTGTGTAATGGTTTGTTATATAGGCTAATAATTATTCAAATTCAGATGTTTAAGTGCAGACTGGAGACTAGACATCGTTATAAAAATCAGGACCACAAAATCCAGAAAAAGAATGTTTAAAGTTTCGGTTTTTGAGAGAAAAGACAGAAGCCGAAATGTTGGACATTAATAATAAAAAAAAAGTTCTGGATTTGGTAGTCTTGATGCTGCTTACGAGATTATCTCCTCGAAGTCGACGTTTCGATTAACTTTCTTTCATCAGTACTTTAGTTCACTTATCCTAAACAATGGTAGTTACCCGAAACGTCTCTTTCAAAGAAATAAATTAAATTTCCTGACTGTTTCTTAACAAATTCATTTATTTAGTTGTGAATTTATTTTCTTCAGCAAAACGTAAATTTTAGTGAAAAAAAAGAGATGACGTAGAGGCCTAATGTATTGTTTGATTCGCTACTTCTGCTGTAGTGTACTAGTTTCACAGAATTCACGATTCGTCAGTGATGCTTGAAGGAATGAAGCAAATAAATGAATTTAAGTCTCATGTAGTGGATGTGAATTCGGTGAAACTAGTCTGCTGCAGAGGGAGAAGCGAATTAAAGAACAGATTAGGCCTTATGTCATTTTTTATTCATAAAATTCACATTTTGGTGAAGAAGAGAAACAATAAATAATCAGTTATTCCGCTGAATAATAACGGATGATTAATTGTGACGGTATGTCACGTGCTATCCAACATCTAAACTAGTTTAGATTATTAGTGGTGACTATACTTGAAAATCATACAAATTAGGAGTTATGTTATGAATTGTTGTAACTTGATATCAAAGTATTGTTGACGTTAAACAATGTATATCTTTCACGCTCTTCTATAATGCACGTTACCCTAAAAGTCAGTTATGTTTCCAATCTTTATTCAAACCTAGAATAAAGGCGAAAATAAATAAATAAAGATAAGTTAAAGTGTAAGTTTTTTCGTCTTAATTATGGCACTAAGTAATTTTCAGTTTTTATTTTCTGGAAGGAAAGACAACGTAGTATGTCTGGTGGCCAAAAGAAGACCTTGTCCCGGTCAGATTCCAATATGGCGACGTGTGAAAACATGCAGAACGTTGTAAGTTCTAGTTCAGTTATTTATTAAACATACACGAATTAAGATATAAAAATCTATATCCTATGCCTACCTCATCCAAGGACTTGAGGTTATTTATTAGAAAAAAAATTATAAAACTGAAATCCGTTTTTTTTTTTTGCTTTAGCAATGTGTAAAATTGTGTATGCGTATCACACTAAAAAATATGTGTAGTGTGTAATTAGTAAATAAATAGGGCGCGGGTTAACCTTGTCGTAGATCTTTGGATTTCGGAAGCGGCGTGTTGGATTCGAGTACGTGCGATATCACAAAATATTCTCCTCGATTTAATCTGTATGTGCGTTATAAGGGTGGCAGTCAATACCTTAGCGTGAATGGTAGTGTGCCGCTGGATGGCTCCCTTCTCCCTGGTTTGTAGCTCAAAATTAAGGACGGCGGTAGATGGCCCTAGTAGTTAGTAGCTTTGCCATAAATACATATATATATATATATATATATACATACACAATGAAAATTAGGAGCAGCATTAATGTCCCAAATAAATAGTCTAAAGGTTTTAAATACCGCTTAGTGTTCTCATTACAAAGATACTGTTCATATTTACATTATATGGATCTTTGTTGTTTTTTTTGTTGTAAAGAAAGTATCGGGTATGTGTTTAATCATTACACCGTATAGTGTTGATATTTATATTCAGGTTGGCATAATGCCAGAAGTTCTCCAGTGTGTCAGCGGTTAGTTCACAGACTTTGAAGGGTGTTGAATTTCTCGCGGTATAGATAGTCCACTGTTTAGCTTTGCACTGAGTTTTTAATTCTGGTTTTGTTTTATCTAGCATAAAAGACCCCCTTATAATACATAGAGGATGCAATGTACTAATCAAACTCCTCAATTATACCCAAGATTTCTATAATCACCCTAAGGGAGGCCTTATCTCCTTCCCAAAAACAAAACCTTGGTAGACAGGTGTCGTACATGAGTACAAATGCCAAATTTGTTGTCACTAATTTGTGTGTGCGGAGGGTGGGTGGGTATGAACACAGTTTCAAATATGGCGCACCCCCGGGATCCCAATTGGGAGTGGGGAGGCAGGAACACAAGGTCGAACGCTAGATGAATGCTCAGTGACTCTGATAATTTACTGTAAGAGTTAGACTCCCATCATTTCTCGGTGGCCTTCCTGACCCCCCTTTTTTTTTTCCGCCGGTTGCCACAGTTCCTTGTCATTTTACTCAGCGCAAGAAAAAACCGCTACCGAAGTGAGCGTTTTTTGACAGTTATAATATTTATAAAAATTATCAAAAGGAAGATATTCAATTCAGCTTATTCGTCATGGTACAATAAAATTATGCATGTATATAATAACGACATGAAAAAAAAAAGAAAACCAAACAACAACAAATATATACTGAAACACGTTCCTCTCTTTATGGGATTTTTTTTCGTTCATGCTCGCCCCCCCCCCCCCAGTGGCACAGCGGTATGTCTACGGACTTACAACGCTAGAAACCGGGTTTCGATACTCGTGGTGGACAGAGCACAGATAGCCCATTGTGTAGCTTTGTGCTAAATTACAAACAAACATTTGTTGTACGTTCGAGGCAGGGACCATTTCATAAATCAAAGGTTGCGAGTCCATATTTCGACAGATGGTTAGGAAGGAGTTGTAAAGTGGGGGTGCTTGCCCAGACATGTAGATTTTACAATGACAGATTGATAGCATACGGAGCTGCTAAAAGCAGTAACAGTTATTAAAATCAATTATACAGTCTCGATATGTTTCAATATTAGCAACAATCTTAGTTAATTCAAGAAAATATTATATTAATCGTAATAACACCTCAAAACAAAAAAATGTATGTCTGTCTGTCTGTCAATCTAGGGGATCTGGAGGCATGTCCCCCCAGAAAATTAATACAATAAAATAATTTCCGGTTGTTGCTATAGAAGTCAAATATGTAAAAGTTCCGAC